ATCATTTCAACTTTTAGGTCTTTTACCTGGGTCACCAAATCTGCAGTTGAATTCAAGCACTTTAGGTCCTTCGGCTGTCATCATTATACCAGCGTATAACACGCCAACGTATGGATACCCTTCCTCTTTCATCCCTTCCACAGTCTTTTGTAAAATATCAGTCTTGATCAGTTCTTTTAGCTCTTCTGAGACCTTTTGGAATAAACAAAATGATCACTAATCTAGCTATGTGCAGCTTAGCCATTCTGAGGTTGGGGTTGTTTTTGTTGTTGTTGTTGGGTTGAGTTAGCATTGCAGTGCATTGTTGTGCTGTCTTAGAAGACATATTTCTAGTTATTCTATTTCGTCCATTAAAACATTACCACAATGCACTGCAATACCAACTTAACCCAGCATTTTACCTCAGCCTTGGAATGGCTAATGTATAACATGTGAGGAGAGGCACATTTTGGATTAGAAGTATTAGGAGAAGCATGACAAGTATGTAATGGGTACTCAAAAATTGATTATAGACAGAATATCAGGTCAAACAGACCTATCCTGAATTCGCTCGACTGGTCACGAAACAATGGTTTCAAGTCGACGTTGAACTTGACGAATAAAAGAATCAAGTTCAATCTCGATTTCAAACCATTGTTTCGTGGTCAGTCAAGCAAATTCGGCATAGGTCTATTGTTGGACATGTGTGAAGATGTAGGTCCTTAAATCTATGACTTACCTGAGGACATGGTGCATATGCTCCCATACCTCCAGTATTTGGTCCCTGGTCATCATCGAATATTCTCTTGTGATCTTGAGCAGGTGGCATAGCAGCAACACACTTGCCATCTGTAAATGCCAACACCTAAATTACAAGAAAAAATTCATAACTTTACACAAAAACTTCAGACAATGATGTTCTTATTTGTGGTAAAAACAATTTTTGCCATCCATTATGGCACATTACAAAATAACTGTTATGAATGTCGCGTTCTGATTGGTTTGGAGYGCATGCTTTATGAGAGCACATTGCACGCGCATGCACTTTCTGTTGCTTCATTCCTATCTATTATTGTAGTTTGTAWTTTATAAAAGAAATWAAAAACTTGCTTGCTGTRCTGTGTGCAGTCATAAAGCACTTGGGGATTGGCAGAACACACGAGAAGTTTCCGCTACATGGCATGCTTCTCCTAACACTTCTCTCATGTTCTGCCAGCCCCYGCATGCTTTATGTACAGCACAYAGACAGCACACAGCACGTGMACRCGTTTTCTATTTCTTCATTATAGTAATGAAATATGAACACTAATATTTAAAAGGGTTTTTTTCCTCTTTACTCACAGAGAATTCCTCTCCTTCAAGCTTTTCTTCAATAACTACAGTAGAACCTGCATCTCCAAAGATGTTTTCCTATAGTAAGAATYCAAAATAATATATAAAAACAATAAGCTATACCACACTATAGTAGCTGAACTATRTGAAGTATGTACTGTAGGTACTCATGTTATAGTTGACATATGTAAAATACACAGACTCCCTGTTGTCACCATTGTAGATCATTGGTCAACTGGCTTATCGTAGTTGAATTGTCAATAATCRCATTTTAATTGCATTTCAAATGAAATTAATCCACACGTTTCAGMTTGTTTAAGTTATCAAGACCTTGGCTGCTTGTCTACTATATGGCTTTGGCAGATAACATGGCTTTGGTCTTGATCTCCATATACAGTATTTGCTCAACCAGGGCTTAAAGTAATGAAGYGACATCTGACAATGTYCACCCAGAAGAGGAACTTGTCCAGTCAAATCTTTGCCTTGCCAGACCCATTTTGACAAGTAATATTAWGCCAGAAATCAGGTATGACTGAGCTAAAACTAATTTGGCCAGTCATTATGACTGGCAACTGGCCGACCGTTATTTTGAGCCCTGCCACCCAGTGGCAGATCTAGGATTTTGAAAAGTGGAGTTGGCTACAGGCTGTAGATCCACTACTGCAACCTTATCCAACATGTTGGTAAAGGGTTAATTTGTGAAATGCAAGATTACCATATTTACTATTTTGTTGAAACTGTGCTTTGACTGTTTTCATTTTCCATAAAACATGAAATGGTCATCTAATTTTTCATAATATACTGTGCATAAATAAATCAAAGTGGAAGAGAAAGCTTTGGGAGTGCATAAAGTAACCCCCATCCTGACCCCTTTCCCATTCTTCCCACTAATCATAACCAGCCTTTGAGAAAGTGTGAAGATTTTATAGTTTAACCCGACATTAGCATATTTCATCCTTTACCTTCAACATATCCTTCACTGCCTTTTCAGCTTCTCCTCGATTACTAGCAACGATAACTCCCTTCCCCGCGGCCAAACCACTGGCTTTCACAACAAGAGCAGGATAATCTGCCGTTCTTACGTGTTCTACAGCTTTATCGACATCAGTAAAGCTCTCAAATCTGGCTGTAGGAATCCCATGTCGTTTCATAAAATCTTTAGCAAAAGCTTTACTACATTCAATCATAGCAGCTTGTTTTGTCGGTCCGAAACAAGGAATATTAGCCTCATTTAAAGCGTCTGTGACTCCATTAGCCAGAGGAGCTTCAGGTCCAACGACTACAAAATCTATTTTGTTATCCTTGCAGTATTTGACCACACTGTCGTTGTCATTTGGATTCACACTTGTCGAGGGAAGATTTTGCATTTTGTCTGACAATGATGTTCCAGCATTTCCAGGAGCGATAAATATGTTAGAAACATGATCTGATTGAGCTAGCTTCCAAGCTAGAGCGTGTTCTCGGCCTCCACTACCGAGAAGAAGCACTCGATCGCCCATTTTACTTCAAGCTTGGAAACCTTCTTCGACAGAACTTTCAAATACACGTGGGTGAGCAATTACCACTTTCGGGGGAGGGGACAGACACTGTTGACATAATTAAAATAAACGCAAAAAAATTAAAATAAACTTTTGATTTTAAATTCTGAAAATAAAACTTACTCCTCGTTATTTTCAATATTGTATTATGAATTCCCTATATCAAAATTTCTTATCTATAAAGCTTCTATCAAGGTTTTCAATAACCAAAATATTTTTTGGGGGGTAGTAGACCGTAAGAGTTTTTTAAAGCCACGGGAGCCCCAGTCACGCAATTTAAAATTTAAAAAAAAAAAAAAAAAATTATGATTTTAAGATAAATAGACAGTATATCAAGCTTATTATTCTCTTATTCATATTTGATTCATTTTGTTGCTTTTTATATTGGATTTTTTATTCCCCAGTCAAGATTTTTTTAAAATTAAAATAAACAAATAATTTTTTAAGATAAATAGACAATTTATCAAGCTTACTATCGTTTAATGTGAATTTAAAACATTTATTTTTTTATATTCTGATCTTTCATTCATCTTGTTTCCTTTTATATAGATTTGATCTCTTATTCTTTTTATAAAGACATGGGTTTCCTGTGTTTGGTTCGTGAGTCGGGGGCTCTGGGTAAGATTGCACTTCCCCTTGAGAAATTAAAGAATACTAACTCGTAAACAAGACGTTGTGGACTCCAGTATAAGGAAGATAACAATGAGTTGCTCTTTTAACCAGACATATGATAATTCTCCGCTAAATAAAACGTTAACAACCATCGCAGGATCCCTGTCAKTATTGGGAACGACTTTTATTTTTGTAACATTCTTTCTATGTCGTGATCTTCGTACCAGCTCCAGAAAGATTCTCGTTTACATTTCGATTGGTGATTTTCTTACTGCGTTGGTCAACGTTTCAGGAATTTGGAAAACCAATCCAAGCACCTTCTGCGATGCACAAGCTACTATTAACATTGCTGCGATTTTATCGTCTTTCTTCTGGACGGTTCATTTGTCTGTTTTTCTTTATTTGGTTCTCTGCGTTGGAATACGAAGTGAAACTGAACGAAGAGCGATGATCGTGTTTCACCTAACAGCTTGGGGAATACCATTACTCGTGGCTGCTTTAGCACTTGGATTCAAAGCCGTTGGACAAACCAAAGATGAAACCTCAGATGGATGGTGTTGGATTGATACTAAAATCAAAAGTTGGCATTGGTTGTTGTTTTGGATGGTTTTTGCAGGAAAGGGTTGGGAAATCTTRTCCTATTTTGCTATATCAATTTTCTATATCAAAGTAAAATGGTTTTTGAAGCATCAGGTAAGATGGGTGTTCCCTTCCACTGGGAATTAGTTGTTCGTTTCTAAATCCCTTCCTCCAGCTCCCATTCAGCAACCACGGAATCATTTATTTCTTTGTACCCATTTACTCACAAATCTAARCACACATTAGTTTAATTAATCTTTATCTATGCATTCTTTCT